TCCGAATTTGAGAAGCTACAATACTTTTGAATAAATACTGCAAATGTTGGTTGAACTTAACTAATTTTGAAATACAGTCAAAAGTCGTTAATCCGGACTCATCGGGACTTCGGCGATTCTGGATTATAGATCATCAGTTTAAATCTGGTAAGATGGCATGCAGAAATTATAAAATTAAAAATATGAAACCGTAATTTATGAAATAAAGAACAATTATGATCTAAAGGGTATCAAAATTTACAAAAAAAAAAAAAAAAAAAAAAAAAAAGCTTAATATTTATTTATTTACTTTATTAAACATTTCTTTCAATGTAAGTTGTTTAAGTTGCTTCAGATTTTATGTGATAATACATTCTCTTTAATTCTATAAACAGACATAATTTCTTGTTCAGTTACAAAGTTCCGCTGTTCAAGTCCTATAATTGCTGTGTTGAGAATACCGACTAATTTGTCAGTCGAAATTTTTTCGTTTTCAATAACCTCTGTTACTTTCTTCGCTATCGGAAGCGAATTATAATGACGAGGAATTTGATTTAAATCATATCAAAGACGGAGTACATCGAGATGAAATACTACATTTAGTAAGGAATTATAAGCCAAATAAAATAAAAACATCTGCCCTGAAGATAAGGATAGTGCTGACAGATCAACTTCCAATTCATTGCGCGCCACAGCGTTAAAGATAAACAAAGTTTAGATAAACAAACGTTAAAATTTAGATAAACAAATTATATGCCTTTATCCATCTTTTGCAGCAATTCCACTTTTTGTTTAATGGACTTCGAAACATACTTTCGCTTTGTAGATCCTTTACATATTAGTAAATATATATCAGAAATTCTATTTGACATAATCGAAAGTTCAAGCTTACTTTTATAAAATTGCTCTAACAGTCTGCAAAAAATAATAAGCCGAATCCAATTCGAAGATTAAGGAACGACGCAATCTGCAACATTAACTGAATTAGATAATTTTACCTTAGCTTATACCGTCTGTTATACATTAAACGCGCATTCGTAAACATATTTTGCGCACGCGCACACGCATATTCGCAGCCGTAAAAGTCTTACGTGCATGCGTCAACCCGATGCACGCGCAGAAAGTTTGTAGCTTTGAGATCCGGATTATGGGTGTCCGAATTAACGACTTTTGACTGTACGTTTTTCTGTACTACTTAACATAATACAAAAAGGCTTCCAATAAGATTATGACAGTTACTGCTACTTTTATGGCAGAAACTGGGATACATTTGGGTTAAAGCAAAACACTAATATTTTCACAGATAAAAAGATAAAATTTAATTATCGGGTGCAAGTTGGAGATTTTCACATCTCTTTTTTTTAAAAAATTCATTCATTTAAAAGTACATTTACAAACTAACCATATTTATTGCAAAAATTAGAATGCATTAGAAAAATTTAAAACACAAATTTTAATTATTAAATAAGGATTATATAATGCATTCACTTGCATGTTTTTGGAAATCCTTCTTTAATTTTTTAGCATTGTGTCTTCCCCATGTACACAGTGATCTCTTTTTCAATTAAAAAACATCATTTTGAATTGTGAAAACTCAGCAACCAGATATCAATTGAACACATCCTATCATTGTTCACTTTAATGATTTTGTGGGCAAAAGCTTTATTTCCACAGAAATTTTATTCTAGTTCCTTCTATTGCTAGCACATTCTTTAAAGGATATTTTAAAATTGAATTTAAGTAAAAAATATTGTGGGGATTTGTTTAGTTTAACTAACAGTTTATTTTTGGTTAAAGCAACTTCATTTTCTGTCTCATTTTCACCCACGCTTTCCTGCCAGAATGTTAATCAGATAAGGCACGTGTATTCAAATTCAAAATGATAGGTAGAAAGAAATGCTACTTAAGTGAAGCTTTTGGAAGGCGATTTTAGAGCATGTCATGCCTGCTTGTAGGCCATGTTGTTACTTTGAACTACACTGGAGTGACAAAAGTCATGGGATACCTCCTAATATTTTGTCGGTCCTCCTTTTGCCCGGCGAAGTGCAGCAACTCAACGTGGCATGGACTCAACAATCGTTGGAAGTCCCCTGCAGGAATATTGAACCATGCTGCCTCTATAGACGTCCATAATTGTGAAAGTGTTGACGGCGCAGGGTTTTGGGCACGAACTGACCTCTCGATGATGTCCCTATAAATGTTCGATGGGATTCATGTCGGGCGATCTAGGTGGCCAGATCATTCGCTGGAATTGTCCAGAACGTTCTTCTAACCAATTGCGAACAATTATGGCCCGGTGACATGGCGCATTGTCATCCATAAAAATCCCATCGTTGTTTGAGTACGTGAAGTCCATGAATGGCTGTAAGTGATCTCCAAGTAGCTGAAGGTATCCATTTCCAGTCAATGATCGGTTCAGTTGCACCAGAGGACCTAGTCCATGCCATGTAAAAACAGCCCAGAACATTATGGAACCACCACCAGCTTGAACAGTGCCTTGTTGACAACTCGGGTCCATGGCTTCGTGGGGTCTGCGCCACACTCGAACCCTACCTATCAGCTCTTACCAACTGAAATCGTGACTCATCTGACCAAGCCACGGTTTTCCATTCGTTTAGGGACCAACCGATATGCTCACGAGTCCACGAGAGTCGCTGCAGGCGATGTCGTGCTGTCAGTAAAGGCACTCGAGTCGATCTTCTGCTGGCATAGCCCAAGGAAGACAAATTTCGCCGCACTGTCCTATCAGACACATCCCTCGTACGTCCCACATTGATTTCTGCGGTTATTTGACGCAGTGTTGCTTGTCTGTGAACATTGACAACTCTACGTGGACGTCGCCGGTCTCGGTCGTTAAGTGCAGGTGGTCGGCCACTACGCTGTCCATGGTGGGATGTTATGCCTGAAATTAGATACTCTCGACACACTCTTGACACTGTGGATCTCAGAATGTTGAATTCCCTAACAATATCCGAAATGGAATGACCCATGCGTCTAGCTCCAACTACCATTTCGCATTCAAAGTTTGTTAATTCTCGTCGTGCGGCCATAATCACGTCAAAGCCTCTTCACATGAATAACTTGAACACAAATGAAAGCCCTGCCAAAGCACTTTGCATTTATACATTTTTCTATGCGATACTACTGCCATCTGTATATTTGCATATTGCTATCCCATGACTTTTGTCACTTCAGTGTACTACCAATTTGATTCTCTGGCACTGGACGCTTCTAGCCATTAGGCAAAAATTTCCGGTGGACTTCTAAGAGTCAGAGCCTTCCTGTGCATTAAATTATCCTGTGAGCTGTTCGGCTAGTTTAAGTATGTTTTATTTCAAGTTAAAAATTTCCGGTTTGAGTTAAACCATAAGTATTGGCTTTATGTAAGCTCAAGTAGGCGATTTGTTTAACTATATGTGAATAAATAAAGGTCTGAAAATAATTCTTCACAGTCATTTTAGAGCTCACTAGTTTATGTTACCAAAAAATACAAAACTCTACAATATCATGACATATTTATAAAAACTACTGGAATTTAGAATAGAATGAAAAGAATGGCAATGAAAATGGTGGCATTGTTTTTGATTGAAGGATTGTTATGAACATGGCTGCTTGAAGAACGGTTATGTACACAGCTGCTAGAGTTTGGCAACTTACACTAAGGCAATTGTAATAATACTTAAGTACCAGAATTGGCATAACTCAAACTTTAACTGGTTATAACCAGTAAAATATTTTGCTGTACCAATTTCTGCCGAAGCAGTTAAAACCACTAGTTATGACCAATGGTTTTAACCACTTTAGCAGGACTTATACGAGTCAGAGGATACTGAACAAAGACATTAAAAGCATGCCTTAATTTTATTTCAAATGGAATTTTTTATTATTAACCATTAGTACAAATGCTTAGAATTTTTTAAATACTATTATTCAGCTTTTTATTTATTATTATTATTATTACTGTTTCTAACAGAAATGTATATCTATTACAGAATTTAAGAAAACTTGCCCTTAAAGTAAACTATAGAATTTTATACACAACTATACATTCAAAAGTCTATAATCCGGACCTCAAGCTACAAACTTTCTGCGTAAACGCATTATGCATTTACGCATGCGCATAATACATTTACGCATGCGCGTTTAATGCCTAACGGACGGTATAAGCTAAGCTAAAATTATCTAATTACCTATTTCAGTTAATGTTGCAGATTGTGTTATTTTCTAACTGGATCCAGCTTATTATTTTTTGCAGACTGTTAGAGCAATTTTATAAAAGTAAGCTTCAACTTTCGATTATGTCAAAAAGAATTTCCGATTCCGGAGCTACCAAAGGACCTACAAAGCGAAAGCATGTTTTGATGTCCATCAAACAAAAGGTGGAATTGCTGCAGAAAATGGATAAAGGCATATCTTTTGTTTCCCTAACCATTTCGAAATCTGTTTATCAATTTCACGCTGCTCTGCGGTTGGGGGGGGGCGTCGCGGCACGCAATGAACTGTAAGTTGATCTGTCAGCACTATCCTCATCTTCAGGGCAGATGTTTTTATTTTATTCGGCTTATAATTCCTTACTAAATGTAGTGTTTCATCTCGATGTACTCCGATATGATTTAAATCAATTTCCTTGTCATTATAAATATCACGAATACACATCAAATAGTTTTCTGGTTGCAATTTTCTAATTTCGACTATGCGTAATGTATGCTTTACACATGCACGCATTGAAAGAAATGTTTAATAAAGCAAACAAATAAATATTAAGCTTTTTTTTATTTAAATTTTGATACCCTTTAGATCATAATTCTTCTTTATTTCATAAATTACGGTTTTATATTTTTAATTTTATAATTTCTGCATGCCATCTTACCAGATTTAAACTGATGGTCTATAACTCGGAAAAACCGATAATCCGGAATCGCTGAAGTCCCGACGAGTCCGGATTAAAGACTTTTGACGGTATTACATTTAATGAAAAATACACCAGTTTTGTAATTTTTAATTAAAGTACCAAAAAATACCTGTGATAGGCCAAACAGTAAACGAGCACTTTCAGTTGATGACACCAAACCACACTTTTCCAGTGCTTTTGCATATGCAACACTTCCCTAGGATTTGAAGAACAACTTAAGGATATTCAGCTCACAATGTTATTCAATAGTAATAGAATTTTAAATATGAAGCCATTTAACAAATTTTTCACACAACACTAGGATATCTTGGTATTAATTTTATCTGTAATTTTGTATTTACAAAAAATATATATATAAATCTATAAAAAATGGGTATTTTTGAATTTTTTTAAGTTGGAAGCTACAGTAGAGTTTTTGATAACGTTCAATGCAATCTCAATATAAGTTGTTACAGTTGCTGTGCAGTAACCATGATGGTAACCTGAATTTTTTTTCTTTCTAAATTTCTAAATAATACATAGCTATCATATTTCCTAGCTTTTTTTATTACTACCCAATAGTATGCCTTTAAAACAGAATGCAAGAATGAAGAAATTATATCAAAGATGTTGGAACAGAGAGCAAATTACTGCCAGGGTTTAACATTACAAGCAGTTAAGTCAAAAATATTTGTCATGATACCTTTAAATACACAGACATGCATCTTGAAATATGTCCGGACAATTAAAGTAGTACTATATATATATAAAAAATTTGAAAAGCTGATTGTGTAGATGTTGATTCATAAAGAAGAAATGTAGCAGCCTTGTAGCTGGAATAAGATGCAGTCATGGCAGATTTATACATTCATTTTAAATTTACATTCAAGATATGCTGCCGCAAATAACCTGGCATACTAATTGTGCTTATTCCTCAAAACTTATACTTTTTATACCAGGCTTGTAAGAAAAGAGCAATGCAGCAGTCTGGACAGGCTAAGAAGCAGAAGCAAAATTTTGTTATGAATTTTTTATAACGTAACATGAAAATTCTGAAAAGAGAGAGAGACTAAAAAAAAAAAAATAATAATAATAATAATAATAAGAGAGAGAGAAGGGGGAGGTTACAGGGGCAAATACAAACTGGTGAGATAACGCCAAGTTTACAATGGTTTTGGCGACTAACCTTTTTTTGCTAAATTTTTCGTAAAATCGCCAAACTTGGGAATCTTTACGTCCAGTCCTTGTATAACTGCAGTTGATACTGTAATTCATCCCTATGAGAGTATCCAACCCATATGTGTAACTTTAACCATATATGCCTTCCAGTAATTTCGAGGATAGTATTCGGTTTTTGAGGGCCGTAAAAAATCGCCAAACTATTGTTGATGCCAGTGCTGCCAAAAATAATTGTGGCAACCCTAATGCAAGAAAGGAAGTATAATAGTAAATAACTATCTAAGATTGATGTTTTAATTTAAATGAAAGGTTAATTTCATATAATACTTTTTTTTTATTATTATAATTTATGTAAAAAAGGCTAAACGTGACTGAATGGAAGCATAAGAGTAATAACTATTTCAGATCCTTATTATAATTTATACAAAAATTGCTAAACATAACTGAATGGATGCCTGCATCGCTATTTCGCTGCAGACTTATCGCTAAAGCACAATTTCATCTTGTTGGTTGTTCAAGCGTAATTTTCTGTAATGAATGATGCCTTTTCTTTGAAAAAAAAGTCCAGAATCGCACCCTTATTTGTTTGCCGCTTTTTACAAGGGTATAAACAATTGGATTTTTGTCAATTTTCTTTTGCTTTTTAAGTGAAAATAGGTCGATGTGTACATAAATAAAGTCAAGGGTGTGCGCAGTGCTATTTTTGTGCAATTCTAGGAATTTTTTTTTTAAGGGGTAAAAATAGGTCGATGTGCACATGGATACCGAGTATGTATGCAATTCTTAAAAACGCCTCAAGCAGTGGGTGATTCTGCACTTTACACCCAAAATTCTATTGCCGACTTTTCGTCATGGGCAATTCCCAAATTGTTAAATCCATAGGATATCAAAAAAGGATTTAAAAAATAAACTAGTATTTCAATATTATTTCTTAAGAAATATAGAACTATATAAACTTATGCAATCTGAAATCAGCGCGTACACTAGATTTGGCGCGCTGTTAAATGGGCACGTTAGCTAGATTTGGCGCTTTTGCACATACATTTCCGCTGCAATTTTTTTTACGGTCCTAAAAATGAAATAGTACCATTTCGAGAGATGGAAAGTATTAGAGATTTCTCAGCGGCTGGAGAAAAATTATTTAAGAAAAACTGAGAACTGATGCCTTAGAAAATATCAGTTCTCAGTTTTTCAGTTCAGAGTTGATTACGATGTAGTGAGATCTCTCCATACGAACTTCACTCTTTATATGTGCTTTGCATTGCACTGTGTTTAATGCTCCTAGTAGTTTGAATGGTGATTACACATTGTTTACTCATTATTCATCCTAATGAGAAGAGCTGTGCGAGCACTTTTATAGAGAGTTGCAGAACTGCAGAGTGATTCTTTTAGGAAAACAAATTTTATTAAACTATCATCAGTTTTGTGAACTATGAACCCATACACATGCAAAAAATTTTGCTTTCAAAAGTAGGATTGAATGCAAGTGACAAGAGCAATGGAGGAGCAACAAACACAGCTGATAACAGCCTTTGCTGCATTCTAACAAAAGAAGGGCAATGGAAGGGACCATCAAGTCCATTAACGAAGAGATGAAAGTGAATTAACAATCCGTTAAAGAAATGATGAATGCTGTTCAAGGAAAGATGGAAGAGGCCGTCAAGTTTCTTAAAGAAGACACGAATGCGGACTAAGAAAGATGAAAGCACGTCAAAAAAAATCCTCCCATAATAGAAAACAAATTCAAAGCTATGAAAAGCAGAATAGACACAGTGGAAAATAAAGTTGGAAAAATTAGAAGTTTCCGATGATGAATAGCAAATCAGAGAAAAGGTGTCTGCTGTGGAACCATAAATCAAAGAAAAAGTTTCTACTGTCAAACAACAAATTGAAGAAAGAGTTTTTGCTATTAAACAAGAAATTGATTACAGAATTTCTGCTGCTGTCACCAAGGAAGTTGTGAACTTAAAGAAATCCATGGTGACTTGAGGAAACACTTCTGATAGCTTTAAATTTGTACATGTCTTTTCGAACCTCTCTAAAGCTATCCAAGTATGATGGAAACACCTTCTGATAAGTGTACAAGATTCAGTTCTGGCAGTCGCAAATGGACAGAATTCCAAAACTAAGGCCTGCCACCTCATTGTTTCTCAGAGTAGACGCAGCAGGTATCCTTCAAGCTCTGAAAACCAGAGGTAGACTTCATAGCTCTATCCGCCGTGTTGGAGCTGCACACTTTTGCTAGAAGTATTTAAAAGTGAACTGAAGTATTTAAAAGCAGGCTTTAGTTGAAATCTCCTCATAGAAGCACTCCAGGAGCTCATCAAAGATAT